GTAAATCAGGCAGAGATGAGGAAGAACAGTTGACCTTTTGCCGTTATTCTTTAGGCCAAGGGTGCACTGTCTTTTTTCCTTAGACAGCCGCATTGCGTTTTTATAAAAAGTCTATCGGTGGGATCGAGGTCTTTTATAAGATATATTTGACTTAAGAATTGGTTTTTATTGATATATATCTCTTTGACTTGTGTCTAAAATGTGTGTAAAATTGTGTTTTTGAAATGGTAAAATTCAAACAAAAACGAAAGTTTTTGAGGATGGCCAAATATTTTTATCAAATAAGTTTAACAAATAAGAGATACTTGAATCTACAGTCGGAAACGAAGAGGACGTCTGAGGGTCGACATTCATATTCGCTGGAAATTACTGTAAGGCACAAGAGATTGTTAACAGCGCAACATATTTTACTTTGTTAGTTACATTATAATTGCAGATACTTTTACTAGCATTTATTACTTTTCATGCATTCAATTTTCCATATCTCGTGATTACTACAAATTCTAGCGCCGAAGCAGACGTATGTTTTGTGTCACAGAGACGTGGTATCAGCCGGGACTGTGCTTCTGGTGTGTAAAACTCGTTATTTTGCGATAATCGGCAACGAGACGCCAAATATATTTGGAAGGGTGAATCTGCAACTAAAAATAAGTCTGAAAAATGATGGTATTAAATATTAACAACATGAACGGAAAACACTGTAACTTTAATATTCCGTGACAGATAAAAAAGAACGCTATTTTAGACATTGTAACTTGGCCATTATCCTGAATTGGAAACTATATAATAAGTGCTGAAATCGAAACAATTATTTGTGCCTGGGATGTATCTTCTCACCCATTCTTAAATTTCAGTCGGGGTTGCACTCGACTTTTGAGATTATGATGGTATACAAGCTAATCAATGTAAAGTATGTTCAATCAATTTTATATCGTAATAAAATGAAATGTACGCTTTGGGATTTTATCTAAGCTCTTGGAATTTTTCTAATAGCGACAATGAAATTGCAAGATTGCAGACATTCGAATCAAAGCTAAATATTATCGGACAGGTTTAGCAAGTATTCCAATGTTCGCATATTATCGTGATATTTTACTCTAGAAATAATGCTTTCATTTTGTCATAGGTCGATGGAATCCCTTGTTTCGTCGAACACAGTTGTATTAATATAGCATCAGGGCCGGATTTGAGCTCAGAATTTCTCTCTAAACAACATCACATGTCATTGCTTAATGTTAAAAATATTAGTGAATTAAACTCTTTGTTCTTTTCATTCTCCCATTCATGAGTGCAAATTTTAATTAAAAGAATAAAAATTTACTCAAGGCAGTTTTGCTTTTAATTTCTAATTTCCTTTCTCTTGCGCTTGCTAGCTCCACTTTCAAATCTTTCACTCGTAATAAATTTGAGGTTCGAAAAATTATGAAATAAGATTATTGCTTGATCTAAACCAGTGGTTCCCAAACTGGGGTCCGTCAAGCACTTTCGGAGGGTCCGCGAAACAAATCTGTAATATGACTCATAGCTCGATAATACAAAAATTAAGTGCTTAAATTTACAAATACACATTTGTCGCCTTTTTCTGCTCCGTAATCACCGTTGGAGACACTGATTCGTCACTTTCTGTTTCGATCACACTGCCTCATTGTGATGTCACATAGCTGTGTGCTTGTGATATCACAGAAAGAGTTCAATTCATGTTACCACGAGTTTACTAACTGCAAGGCTGTAGGTGTTGTTGCCCTTTTGTACGTTTACCAAATATCGGAACAGACTGGATGTCACACATGTCATAAGAGTTTCGCTTTATATTCTTTTGTTCGTTTCACTTCACGGCGCATTGATTTTTTGTTGTGATCTTTTAATGTTTTGTTTTAGTGCGCAGGGCCGGGAATCATTCAAAAAATTGCAAGGGGTCCGTCATGGAATTTTTTTCAAAAAGTTTGGGAACCACTGGTCTAAACGCAGGTTAGCAATACCAAGACGTCTAAAAATAAGATAAGTCGAGAACATTAATCAGTTATTTATTTCAGCAACATATCAACTACCGATACTGTTTTTTGCAGAGTAGACTACGGTACTCCAACATAGATAGGAGCTTCCAGCAGAATGTGCATAATAATTGCCTTTATTATGATGCAAACGACGTAATAATGGCTGTTTACAACGTGATTGAAACCAGTTGTGTATAGAATTTTCTACTCTGAAAAGCTTTATATATATATACCATAGGTAGGGTTACTATATTTTTGTGACTTCAAATCGGGACGCCTCGAAAGACAACGACCCATTTTATAACTTCACATTTTCCGACTCTACTACATAGGCCTACATTTAATTAGAGTTTCCTCGGCTGTCGTTATTGACCATATTGTTATCGTAATTTCATGTGCATATTCTCTGTCAAAATATCGGGTTCAGTTCGAAAAATAGGAAGGAATTGACGTTAACGACACTGGCACAAATAATTCGAATTCATACTAATTAGTATTGGTTTTACATGCGATACGTCTGCCATCAATGGGAATCAGCGGGAAACGAAAGCATTCGCCTTCAGTAAGTAGGCTAGCGCTGCGCTACAAAGAAACAACAGTAACGAGAACATGTTTGTGTATTATGCAGAAAAAACGGGACTTTTGGCTGACTTACGGTATCGGGACAAAACGAGGCGGGACGTATGGTAAGCCTAACTATAGGTAGGGTTTAAACTTAGGATAGGATAGGATTTACATATTTATCCCGGGGGAGAGGAAAGCCGATAAGACGGCTTATCCATATGGCGAACCACGGCCTCTCGTCCGGTTACCATTCCAAGTCGGGTATGGGATTAGTTTTTACTGTATTGTTTGTTTTTCGGAAGCATGGACTTGGTGGCGGAGGAAGCCGTAACCGACCAGCGGTTACGTGAACCACCCAACGACGGCGAGGAGTCCAGCAATCCTCTCGCACATAACCATCCCTGCATAGGATTCGAACCTGCGAACCCACGCAGAGTAATTAGAGGTGCGGTGGCGAGCGTATTCCTAACGCTTAGCCCGTTGAGCCACACCGCCGCGCCAAACTTGTCAAGTTTTTAAAAGAATTACAAATTTCGAAACCGAACTTCGAGGCCCCTTGACGTTGAGGTCCTAGCCTGCCTGGTCTATTGGTAAATCCGGCCCTGTATAGCATGATATTTTGAATGCTCGTATAGGCCGTAGCCTGAATATTTTGCGCCATATGAAAAAATCATTATCCAACGAGAAAACTGTCTCTTTTAACGAGTAGCGGTCGTTGCTATCATGTTTCAGAAAGTGTTGAATGGAAATTTCGGATTCCGATCCTGGCATTTGTAATGATGTGAAATTGCAGGAAATTTGGCAGACTTTTTTTCCGCTTTATGAATGGATGTTTACAAATGTGTTACTCTTTATAACATTGATAACTTCTATTACGTTAACGACACAATGATTTTCCGTAATAGTCAAGCGCCAACATATACTTACATTGCAGTAAAACAAACATCAGCACATTTTACCCTCGACTGGCGCAGGTTGTGCACCCCAGCTTTAGGACTGTATGTTGACAAACTTCAAATGGCATAAATTACACATTAATGATGACAAAATTGAGTTTTATTTAAAAGCAGCCTTTTTTTCGTATAACTGCACCTGGAGTTTCCTGATAGTTTGGCACCGCACTGACAAAATGTTTGGAAACCGCTTATCTGTTTCACGAGCTTGTCCGTTGCATGCATGCCCATGTGTAACACGAATAGCTTATTTTCTAAACTTGCCAATAGATCCGCGGCACACCCGAGAATCTCTCACAACACACTACAGCTTGAGAAACGCTGCGTTGTTGACTGGCGGAGCGACGAGTTCATACGCTTATATCAAAGATAATCATGTTGGGTATATGCTTGCCATCTCACATTTGATTACCCTGTGCGGCTTACAGATTTCTTCATAACCAAGATCATGCATCTGATACAAATGACTGGTTAACTAATCTCATACCTGACACAGACTGGTGACCGGATAACACACGCGGTTGCGGTTAAGGACAAGAAAACCCAAAAGAAAAAGAGACGTTACGAGAAACCACAAAAAAAGAATTGCAAAAGCGATGCATTATGTGATAGTATATACTGATCGAGTCAAAACTTACCAAAGGCATCTGTGGTCCCTTGTAAGAACAGGAGCATGGTGTTGATGACAAATGGCAAAATATAAACTCATGGACTGATATGGTTAATAATGATTTAAACAATATAATAAATGAAGCATGACTGGCAGCACTGTTTTACTTTGCTCAGGCTGAGATTATTCTGCCAAAACAATTTTTGGGGCTCCCGAAGTATGCGAACCAAGATGGCGGACATCGGAATGTAATATGTGTACTAGGTTAGGGTTAGGCCATAATTTTAGGTATAAATACTACGGGAGGCTCTTGGCTAGTCTTTTAACTAATAATAGGACTAAAATAAGGAAAATTGGAAAAAAAACGCCATGAACTAGTGAGAATTTCGAACTGTAGCGTAGAAATGTGTGTTAATAACTCCTGCATGACAGGGAGACATCTTAGGTTAACACAATTAGGAAAAAAAGAGGTTCCCATAACTGAAGTTCGTTTTGAAAAGTTTTTCAGTAAGTGCACTGAGCGTTAGGTGGGCGGGAGCTTACAGCCAATCAAGATTGGCGATAGTAAATTTTTTCAGTCGTTAAGTCTGGATAGGTCAGAAGAAACTGTTCATTACAATATTCATAAAATAAGCCTAGCAAAACAAAATTTTCGCCAAAGGGAAGAGAGTTTGCTGTACAGACGCAAATCAAGTTCATTTTACACTAAATTATAAAAGGACGAAAAGTTGATGAATTAAGAATGAGCACACACCGTAGTCTGTGAACCAAGATGACACTGGACACTGGAATGTAGTACGTGCACCCGGTAAGGGTTAGGACATAATTTTATACCAATTGTCCTTATTTTAGTTCTATTACACTTTATTTCCATGACACTTAAGTAGTTCAGAGCCATGTTCAGATATGATAAACACCTTCTAAAAATTGCAGTTCAAAAATGTAAATACAAAAATCTATAAAAAGTGCAACATAACAAATGGAACAACATTCAGCAACAGAAAAACGGCAAAAAATAATAAGAAAAAATGCTGTTATACCAGCCAGCTGGTGAATGATGCTAAGCCAGTGGTGGGCACGGTTTTTGGACCAGGGACCAACAATTTTGCCAACCTAGTTACATTCTATGAACAATATTTACAGTGTTACAAAAGCAAAAAATAAGAAGCCTTGTGCTAGAACTATATCTAATCACAATCTCAACAAATTCTTTAAGCTATTTTTTAGCTAAAACATCATAATTTAATTTTAGGGCAGCATCAGGTGGGACAGATTGAAAGCCCGATTTGGCCCGCTGGGCCGTGGTTTGCCCATGTCAGTGATGAGCCTTCCGCCTAATAGTCAAAGTTTCTATTAATCACAGATTAAACTGGAACCCTATTCCTAACTCCCCACCAAGAGTGTAAATAAAATGATCAACAAGGAAATGATTACGGTCAACCAAGGAATGGTAGCTTTCCCCTTTTTATATCATCAGGGCAACAATTTATTCTGATCGACAAAATAATATTTCTTTTCCCGCTTATTTTATTACGTAGTTCCTTGCACCCTGACACCAAGTGTTGAATTTACAAGTAACTGTCGATGTAACGCAATCTCATTCTCCGTTAAAGGGCGAGCGTCGTAAGGGCAATGCTGGATCGTTGGCAATGTTGATTGATATGTCCTGCGTCCGAAACCTGAAAAAAAAATACAATTTTAATTTTGAAAATTGGTTAAAATCGTCACTTTTAACAAGAAATGGGTATGGCCACCTAGTGGTTGAAGTTGTAGTTAGACCAGTGATTCTCAACCGCGGCTCTTAACTATACTATACTTTATGTGGCTCTCATTATCTTCTGAAAATTAATCAGTTTCATTGAACATTATTTATTGAAAATTAATCAATCCAAAAACTGGAAGTGCAGTATTTGAATTTGAATTGATGTCATCGTGACCGTCTTGTGACAACATTAACTCCTGAGAACAATTTGTTTGAAGCAATATCTGCTCGTCAAGAGCCTTATTCATGCAAAAAAGCCCCATAAAAAGGCCATTTTCCTGATGCCATAAACATGAATATAGAAGAACTTCAAAATCGAACCTTCATTCCTGTTTTCTGTTGAGTCATTCTCCTCATAACTCAGCATTTTTAGTCTGAATTCTTCTGTCAATTTGGCTTCTTCATATTTTTCATCTTCTTCATCCTACAGAAAAAAAGGGAGGAGAGGAAAGCTTATATAGTGAAACACTTCCTCCTCGTAAAAAGAAATATTCCCTCCAAACAGAGCTATTGAGTCTGAGATAATTTACGAGCTCGGCGGTGCGGCTCATCGTGCTGAGCGTTAGGAATACGCTCGCCACTACACCACTGATTACCCTGCCCTAGTTTGCAAGGTTCGGATCCCATGTGGGATAGTTATGTGCGAGAGGATTGCTGGACTCCTCGCCGCCGCAAGATAATTTACGTAACCTCTGGTCATTTACAGATTTCTCCACCATAAAGTCCATGCTTTCACAAACAAATAACTGGCCAAATAATCCCATACCTGACATGGACTGGTAACTTGACGAGAAGCCATGGTTGGCCATATGATCAATGAAAAGTTACGAAAGTTCAAAAAATTTTGTTCTCCTTTTTGCACATTTTGTTCAAGTTTCGGCAGTTTGCGTTAAAGCCCTCGAATTCGAATCGTAATCGTCTTTTTATAAATAAAAAAAAGTTAATTTAACCTACTTTTTTCTGTTTATCATCGTCTTCCGACTCCACGTTATCCACGTCGGGAACTACCTGAGCATCAATGGTAGAGTACCGGGCGTCACTCCATGCCCAGGCACATTGTTTTAACGCTACCAACGTTTCGCTTGCCGTCAATCGCTGAGTGGGGTCAAGGGTCAATAATCCTCGAATAATGTCGTTAATTTGAGAAGTCGTGTGAGGATTGCTGAAACGTGAAGATTTCAGTTAAATATTGTATTTAATTCAAGAACACACCAACAAGAAATGTACTTCTGTATGGTCTCGTCTGACTGAAGTCAGACTTCTTCAGACAAGCATATCTCAGTGATCAATGTGCACACGTCTCCACCGGCACAAAGGCTATGTTAAAAGATTCAATAACGTGAGCTATCGACCAGACAAGAGTTTGTGGTTCGACATATTATGAAACACTATATCAGCCTCTTGCTCTCCTCCAAGGTTAATATAAAAACCCTATTTAGTCCGGCAGAATCGGGCCTCAACATTGTTTTGGGACATAAAGTTTTTTTTATTGTTTAGATATAATGTATATGACATATATAATGATACCCAGGTGGGTGTGGAGTATGTAATGTTGAGCAATTTTTTTTAAGTGGATTTGAAGTATTCGGTCCAAGATGACGCACATCCTGAACCCTAACCTGGTAAACATACAATGTTCAGGTTGTGCGCCATCTTGGTACGAATACTTCAAGAGCGCCGTTTTGTTAAAAACAATTATTTCATAACTACATGGTTTAGTTTTGCATACATAGTAACATTGAATCTCCTTACAATGTCAGAAATTCAATTTTAGTAGAATAAATGGTAGTTTATTTCACTAATACAAGCCACGATCCATCGACAGCATCTAGCCACTTTCTATTGCGCTCTTCAGACTAAAATTTGCGTTGCCGCGCGCATTTCGTTTTCCTAGTTTAAGCTTAGGGACTTGGGAAATATTTTATTAATTGGATTGGAATATTTGACCTCGTCTTTCACTCCGAACAAGGCCATGTAAAACCATCCACTGGTGTCTAAAGATGTATAACGTGTTTTATTTTGGAAAAACCGCAACCTTTCAGTGCTGCATTGACTTTGGCAAAATTAATATATCCTTGTGGAGATCAAAGGTATGCTTATGCGAAACCGAGATGTGCACCTGTTATGCCAACATAGTTGAGTCAAACGTTTTGAATACTGGTACATCACACACATTTTCCTACGCGCTTCGGTTGTACGTATAGTAACACGCACATTTTTGCGCACATGCATCAAATTTCACTTGATTATTGAGCTATAGGTTTTTGACGTGCTTTTGTGTATGATTTCATAGAATTTGTATGCTGTTCTAAAAAATACTATAGTTACAGCTTTTTCATTCATTCAAACCGCGAGTTGAAAGTAAGTTTTGTAATATTGCGTGTTGGTTTTCAACATCCTTAAATCATTGATGCCAGTAAATCTTTAATACAAAAAGATCAGTAACATCTGCAATAAAAACAGCAGTACCCACTCAAATGACAGCTGGGGGATGGATACTCTTAGTATCTGCTCCATCGCGTGCCTCCTACAGTCTTACCAGTTAACATGAGTGTCAATTGGTATCAAAGCTCAGCCAGACCCAAAAAAAGTTTCGGACTGCAGTTGGCGTGACGAAATGTTTTTAAATATATATTCTACAATTAGATTATTTGATTGCATACTACTGAAAGTTCCGCCTTATATGTCTTTTCCCATTGCACTATTCCTTTACTGATATTCGATAATATGACGCTCATCTGACATAGTTCTTAAAGTGTGTAGATGGGTATAATCTTTTCCACGCTGTTTAGATGGGAATGCGCGAATATATATAAGAATTGCTAATATTGGTTTGCAATGCGATGAAATCCCATCTTGGCATTTCTGCCTCTCGCAATTGCTGCGTATACTTATTGGGGAAGTTCTGTGGCGTGGTTATCAAATGAAAAAAAAACATGGTAGTATTTTTTCTACTTCTCTTCTACTATCAAACCTTGACATTTTGTAAAAACTTTTTTCCATGCAACCTTTTTTTAAAACATCCCCAACAACCACAATTAATTCTGTTATTAAACTTCCGAAAAAACACATAAAATCATTAACAGATGCATATCACCAAGTAGATATTGCTGAATTGATCTTTATTTTACCATTTTTCATGTAATTCTTCTTGATAAACCTGTTATCTATCGTAAATACAGCACATTTGACAATGTTGTAGTGTGCCTTTTTCGGCCTCACATTTTTGATATTTGTAGTTAGAGCTCTCGGGGCTCTGTCAAACAAAGTTACATACAAAATATTGGTTGTAAATTGCAAAATATGATCATGTTGTTGGAATAACTTGGCATTTTACCACCCGTATATCATTCATTGTTGAGAATATTAAGAAAATCATAAAATTTAAAAATCCGTTTTCGTGAAATTTTTGTTGTAGCTGAATTCGAGGGACAGCATGACAACAGACAAGAGAAGCACGATCGCCTCTTTTAGTTTATGACAGGGTTTCTTAAAAGGGGACCCCGTCCTCCTTGGAGGCCGCTGATCGGTTATCTGGGAGCACGAACAAACAGATGGAAATGCAAATATATAATAACAATGTATTTTTATGGAAGAGAAGAAGCAAAAGTGTTAAGAGTCTTTGGTAGTTTGAAAAGCATTGGCATGGAACATAAGAATGAACTACATTCTTTCCCAGGGATATACTATAAAATGTAGTATTTTCTCATTCTTGTTCTCGTGATATCATTATCTTTCACTGCGTCGTCGTGATCATCCCGCTGCAAACTCCACACCCGTGTAGAAATGATGGGCAATGACCCCAAGATGAATAATCACAAATAAAAAAAACTTTATGTCTGAAATCAAACTTGGGCCAAAAAGGTCCCCTTATCTGCCGGACTAATTCAACCTTCAATTGTGAGCAAAAAGTTATTCTCTCTGTCACAACCAAATTTAAGTACAGACTCTTTTTGGTTACATTTGCCTCCATACCCGACATGGACCAGTGACCGAATGTCATAAGACAGAGGTGGGTGATTTACGACCCACGACCGGATTCAGCCAATTGAAGTTTTCTATCTGGCCCACTGGTGTGCTGGAAATTATGGGGTGCAACCCACACCTGGGGAAAGGGTGGAGCGTGTTGGAAGGGGGGCATAGACAATTTTTGACAAGGTGTGAAGAGATATAAATTTCCGATGGAATAACGTCATAATGTCCCGATTGTCACTTTTTATTCCTTATTATTATATAAAGTTTTGCCTAGCTGTTGGAAAAATTATTTTAGTTCGTAGTTTTCCATATTGAGTTTTGTGCCTCTGGCACAGTAACCAAAAAGTGTGCGCGTGTGCCCGCGCACACAGCTTTCAGAGGCTGCGCACACGCATAGATTTACTGCGCACAGACATATTTCGATGTAATGTAATAATGTGCTCGGTTGCCAGGTTGAGAAAGTTTGTTGTTGGCCCACTTATTACCCGGTTAGAACGCCAAAATTTCTTCTTTGGTTTTTGCACAAATATTAGTCATTTCCAAAAAAGTGCGCACACACCAAATTTTCTGCGGACACATACTACAAAAAATTAGAGGGAACATTGATTGCCTGTAGCTGGCTTACTCATAAAAGTAATTACCCATGACTGCCATATGACCAGGCCTTCTATCTGCTTTGCTTCCCCCGTTTAATATAAAAATCAAATCTTACCTTGGGATGACAAAATCTGCTTTTTTAATCTTCTTGAACAACTTGGGGGGTTCCTGGTCGTAGAATGGGAATTGTCCGTACAACATCATGAACAAAACGACACCTAGTGACCACATATCACTCGGCTTTCCTGCATATGGCTTGCCTGAAAAAAGAATTTGAATATAAGTATAAAACAAGGGTTCTCAAACAGTGGGGTGCAACCCACACCAGGGGAAGGGGTGGAGTGTGTTGGGAGGGGGGGGGGTATAGACAATTTTTGACAAAACGTGACGCTGATTAAAAATAAAAATATTTGATAGATTTGATCTTATCCGCTCTATTTTGTGAATCTTAACTGTGAAAGCGATTTACGATGTGTATTATCCTCCCCAAAACCTTTTGTCAGCTAAAAACAACTGCACTAATAAAAATAACAACAAAGTCTGCTTGTTTTTAAAACTTTTCATTTCTTTCATTATTTGTACTTTCAACGTGTTTTTCGAATGAAACAATCTGATATTTGTGGCTTATTGTTAGTTAGGTATTTTTAAGGTAGGTAGCGAGTCAACCAGTTCTAAAATAGGGGCGCGGCTTGAAAAGTTTGAGAACCACTGGTTTAGGTGAACCTGATATTTCCAGCATTGTCATTTCACAAGAAGAAAGCAACTCTGACAACGACAAGCAGGGTAACCGTAGCAACAACAGTCAGGGGAATAACGAACAAGCAGGGTAACCATAGCAACAACAGTCAGGGGAATAACGAACAAGCAGGGTAACCATGGCAACAACAGTCCAGGGATAAACAATTTATCTTACCACTGAGAACATCTGGGCTGATATAAGCCGGGCTCCCTCGCTGGTCTTTGAGTAGTTCACCATCTGACATGAGATGCCGCCCAAGACAAAAATTAGTCAGAATAACTTTGTGAGATTTCCGAAGAAATACCATGTTCCCAAGTTTGAGATCCCTGGTAATATAAAAAGTGAACACTGGATTAGTACAGAAAAAAACTAATACCATTGATATACATATTGAATCAAATATTTGAAATTATTATTCATAAAAAGGCTTCTCAACTATTTTCATCAAAGATCAGTCTACAAAACTTAAAAATTACTGGGGTCCAGTCTCCCCAGAAATTTATTTCAACATCCTTATTAAACGCGAACTTTCGCGTCGGCTAATGATTTTGCGGGGAAATGCGATAAACCAGTATTGGTCATCCATCAAGCAGCGAAACCTATGAAAATTCCACTTGCACAAAGTCATACAGCAAGAAAAAGTAGTAAGTTAGCCAAATAAAATGCTAGTTGACCTGAACTTCGCCGCTGGACAAATTTATGACAAAACCGAACTTACAATCAGGGGGGTGAGGAGTTGAAACATATAAAAAAAATCCTTACCTGTGAACAACGTTCATTTGATGTAGCGAATGCATAACTTCGACAATAGAGGTAAAAATCCTTATTGTTTCGCGTTCACTCAAGCGTTTAACTTTTATGACATGTTGTTGCAGGTTCAAACAATCTATTGTGGACTCGTCAAATTCGTGAGGAGACAAACAATCAAGAATTAGGCAAAGACGTTCCTGTACTCGGCCAGTTTTGGGGTCAAATGTCATGTCTTTATGGAACCCATGCTCTCTTATTACACCAGGATGATTTTTTAGTAAAGTTAATAACGAGTACTCAGAATAAAGTAACATTCGTCCACTTCTATCATCGACTGAATTTCCCCCCATATTCAAAACTTTCGCCATGTAGTACTTGAACGTGTTTTCTTTGCGAACTAAATATTGTGAAATACTGCGGACCGGGGAGGCACCGAACAGCGGGCCAAAAACATACGGCCCAATTCTGTTTTTGCATGTAAAGACACTCGGGTTCTTTTTAATTTTTAATAAATTTTGTTCTGAAAGTAGGTCATGCTTCATTGGAGTTATTATTTCATCGCAAATGTCTTTTTTTGTAGGCTTCAAATCATCTTTCCATGCGACTTGCTTTTTAGGCGGGAAAGTTTTTTGTTGTACTGTTTCAGATGAACTTTCACCTCTGTCACCGGAAGAGGAAGTCACATGATTGTTCCGGTTCAGTCGTATTTTGGATTTTTTTAAAATGGACGGGCTTGGGGTGAGAGTTCTTGGGGCTGCAGATATGACTCGAAGAGAGTGTGTCGATTTATCAGGAATTGAAATCTTTGACACGGATGGACTCGCCTCTTCTGATTTAGAATCTGAAAAATGTGAATTCATGTTCGCATCAAGTTTTGATATTTTGAATTCCTAGAGCCTGGAGTTGAAATCTAAACGATGAAAATTTAACTCAAAATTTACATTAGCAAAGCATACAAACAAACAAAAAAACAGACAGACAAAAAAATCATGCACAAGTTTATGATATAAACATTGAATCTTATCTGAGCTCGGAGCTGGAATAAAACTTCCCTCAACCTGAAGTTAATTTCGTTCAAATTTCATTTTTTAAACAAGTTATAAGCAGTATACATCAGGGCTGTGGGCCCAGGTAGATATATAAAGACTCTTGGTGACTCCCTTTTGTTGGAAATGTTGACTTCAGCTCTGAACTTTGATAGAGACTACTTCAATGAGAAGGAGACTCTTGACTCCAGACTTCCTATTTTACTCAAATAATAACGTACTAGTATCTCAACTCAATCGCAGTCGTTAAAAATTGTCAAACAACTATCGAGGAAGTTAAAGGAACTGAATTCAGAATAGTGTGTACAAACATTACTTTTACTTAATTTCCCTTTTCTTCAATAATTGCCTCTACACCCAAGACCTACCTTTTATTACTTTCCCGCTAGTATTCCCAGCTTTGGCATCATTGCTTCTATCTTGGTCATCAACGAGAATTTGAACTTTAGGTATTTGCATAGCAGACGTTCCAGGAATGTCAGTGTCTGTTTGTATAGGTTTTGCAAAAGCACTCTCTCGGTTAAAAAGTCGAGTTTTCTGTTCGTCAGAAGCATTCGGGTCGTATTCCACCCGCGTTAAGCGTCCGCGGAATCTTGCTCTAGGGTAGAGATTGGAATTATCTTGACATAGGTATTTTGATTGTGACATCATATTGCCTCCACTCAATGCTCGTTTTCTCGACTCTCGTAGTTGTTCCAGGTAAGTCGCTGGGTCTGAAATAATAATTCATTTAACATTGATATATTTCCATTTACTGTATTTTTTCTGATTACCGGTAGTAAAAATGTAGAACGGCCTGGTGTTTCCCCAACCTTTCGAAAATGCCAAAAAAACAGAACAGAGCCCAGATCATTTGGAACATATTCTAGAGCAGGGACTCAAGTATTTCCAATGAAGTTCCGTTTACAAAACTTCAAAATTACTGGGGTCCGCACATTTCAGAAAATTTATTCCAATAAATAAACATATACATTATTAAATTGAATACAAGAGCAATGAATGGCTCACAAATATGGAAACAAATGTCGCAAATCTGTACCAATACGACTAACTGTAAAGCCGTATGCTAATAGTATCAAAATCATCAAAAAATATAAAACAATGCTTATGCTGCTGACACGGTCCATATTGAATGGTTGAAAGGTCCATATTCGGACCGCTGTCAGCCAGTTGAGTAGCTCTGTTCTAGAGCAGTGGTTCTCAAGATCTAAAAGATCTCAGATAAAAAGCTTTATTATTTGGTGCGCTTTCGCCGTAGAGGCAATTAACGGTGCACGACTTTTAATCACCTTTACGATATGGATATGTTATCCGTTGAGGGGCGGTGATAAGGACTCTCGCGTTGTGGACGATCAAAGGAAATTGTTTTATGCTGACTCAGGGACTCTCTTAAACTCCCGACAACAATCCCTTCCATTATTAATACAAATCATGACGCATGAAAAGCAATATAGAGTCATGAGTAAGGATCTACGGCCGTTGCTAACAAACAGAAATGATAAACGTTAGAAATATTTGTGTTACAGCAATCTTGTTTTCTTTCTGCGCCATTCTTAAGGCGTCTGGCGTGTTGAGATTCGTAGTGAATTATAAGAATGTGTTAATACAGCGTTATTTCTTTCCTTGAAACGAACAAGGAACGAAATTAATCGTCGTTGTGGGGATCAAAGGAAATTGTTTTATGCTGATTCAGGAACTCTATTTTAAACTCCCGACACATTGAAAAGCAATATAGACTTTATTAACATAAATTAACAAGTAAGAGTTACGTGTAATAATCCACCTACAGCCTTCACTAACATGCTGAAACGATAAACGTGAGAAATGTTTGCGTTACAGTAATTTTGTTCTCTATTACCTTTTTTTTCTGAAGCGTCCCGCCGTGTAACGATTCGTAGGACCGGCTTATGTGCGATTTTTTATAAAATCGTTGTTTCAAGGCCGTTTTTAGGGAGTCGGCCTATTCTCGATATGGGCGTAATTTCGGGAAAATACGGTAATTAACATTTTATTTTGAAAAAAGTCAGCAATAGAGAAGCTCGACTCGACACAAACGTGACGATTGACATTTCAGGCCCGACCCGGCCTGAATTTCAAGTCGGGCTTCAGATCCTAGCTCTAGTTTCGAACTCTTACCAGTTGCACTGTGAGGGGCGGTGACAGGAGTCGAAGAATCGAACACATCATCATCATCCTCTTCATCTTCGTCCTCATCAACTGACGTCGTCGTTGCAGGATCTTCCGAACTTCCGTCCGATACCTGAACAACTTCTAGTGTGGTCGGTATCGAGTTACGTCGCCTAATAATGAGATAGAAAGATTATTGAACCTGAATTTTTTAAAGTGAATTTGCTGGTAGTAGAATGGTAGCAAGGTATAACAGAAAATAAATTCGGCACAATGTTCTAGCACAGGGTTGCTTGAAATGGGCCCTCGACCAACTTAGGGGTCATAAAACATTTTTAAGGGGCCACAAAGCAAGTCGTGAGAGTCTTTGGAAGGAGGCAATAGGTCATGAAAGTTTGAGAACCATTGGGTAGCAGTTAGAGCCTAGACCTAATTATGTTATCATAGCAGGTAAAATATCCCATGAACAATTCACCCACATAGAGAGTGATAAAGTGTTTCATAAACCTAACTAAATAGCTGTGTATTCCCCATATGTTTAAGTCGTCAACTTTTCTCTCTCCTGGGATGAATATGAAAATCCTATCCTATGTATATTTAGCTGCTTGTATATGACCTCATTAAGAGTGAAAACAAGTCACGAAAAACATAACATTTTATTCTCAAAACATGAAAGTTTCAATACCTTATTGGAGTTTCATTGGAAATAATCTCGGACGTCGGTAACGGGCCTCCAACACTGTACCGATCCCGTCTAACTGGGGTTTGAATTGAGTGCGGTTGTGGATAGATTCCTTTATAAGGAGCATAAGGCGGTGGTTGGTGACGGTTCAGAATATAATCGTAATGTGGGGCTACATATGGGAGATGGAAATTCGTTCCTGGGGGGTACAGGGGGATATGTGACCCAGTTGTCCCGTGGGGGTTTGAAAAAGCTGATGTAGTTGAGTTCCTGCGACATGTTGATGGATCTGGATACTTGTGAGGATCGTAGTACGGGTTTGGTAAGTATGTCGGAATCGGACAGAAAGGTAGATGTGCCGCTGTAGCTGAAGTGCTCTGCTGCATCTGAATATAATATATACAAATCAGAGAAATTAAGGTACGGCCAATTTTATCTGAGAGCTCGTCAAGGCCAAAATTGAATCAATATTCCAAATACATTTTCAAATAAGATAGAACGATTAAAAACAGGTTTCTGACCCTTACTACCTGATTGTGAAAAAAGTGAATTATACTAGACTTCCTTTAAAATTAATGCTTGAAGTTGAGGAAACGAAGGCTGCTAGCACCCCCAAAGGTCCAAGAAAGCTGAATTGTTGAGTATGGCAAATATTCACTGAGCCCTGATTTAAGTGAGACAATGTAAATACTTATTTAATAGTTGCTATTGACTACCAATCAATTTTGTATTGTGTTATTTTGGTGTCAGACACACAAAAATATTAAAACTAATGAAATGGTTTTCTTCTTTACGGATAAGAACAATTATCATTTTTTAGTAATTTCAGAAACTGTTGAAATTTAAAGGTTTCAGAGCTATAATTGAGCCTCCTTACCGACTTTCCTCCCCTCCCTGGAATAAAAATCCTATCCTTACCTCAAGAACAGTGGAATGTGAGGCCGCTCTAGCTCTGTTGCAATTATTGTTATCATTCGAGCTGACAAGAAAAAGTGGATTCAACCGGTTTGAACTAGATATAGGCAGCTGGGAACTGGATTGATTCAGTATTTCTGGATGGTAAGTTGGCAACATTGTCCTTGGCATTGATGAATATAAAGCAGGGTCAAAAGCCATCTGCGGAATATGGTGTAAGCCATAAGGCGGCGGTAGAGAGGTTGATAATCGTGGTATATCCATTTGGCTACATGAAGCATGCCTCGTAGAATTTGATTGTCCATTTTGTGACGGTGCATGGTTCGTATTTAGTCCATGGTTGTATAAATCGTCCGCTACTTGCGGATCTCGTCTATGCTGGTTATCCATGCTGAATAATGTATACTGTTCATTTGCTATGAAATACGACTCTATATCCGAAAATAAATGAGTTTTATGTAGTTTATTTCGTTTAAAGTGTAGCAAGCCAGAATAACGTTATCTTATTAAATAAGTTTCAAAGAATAATTAACAGACTAGAACAAACTTTGATCGGTGAAACTCATTGTCAGACACAAGAACTTGCAGCACCCGCATATTGCAATTTAAATTAACATAACCTGATTTTTATGATTGTCCCGATATGCGATATATCAATAAATAAAAACTGACTATAGAACGGTAGGGCACAGTTCTCCGATTTCAAGATAATAAAAAAAAATTCTCTTATTTCAGTGGCAGGGTGGCGAAACAAAATACTGAAAGATAAAATAAATACAGTACTAAGATAACACCCACTTCATAGCATGGGAAAGTTGATCTATACGACATACCGGTACCGGTATCCAACGACTAACATACCGTAATCACAATACCAGTACGGTACCGGCAGACCGGTGATACCGAAAAAACAACAACGCACAACAAAAAAATTTAACATTGCTTGTTTTGCCCTGTACCGGTATTGCTTTTTGGTTTCGGGCTTTGTTGTAACGGAAAACCAAAATAAACGCTCTCACTAAAATCTCAAAGTGTATATTTGGACACCATATTAGGTACGCTACCGGTACCGGTACCGTTACGGTACTGGACCTCAACCTCTGAGAATGACCTCAACTTCGGAAAATTTCAATCTATATGAATTTACTTTTATTCAGTGTTCCTGTCGTATACTTGAAGTATGGAAACACCACATTCTGCCGAATGGGAAAACTTTGCAAAAATCCTTGTTTATGTTTTCGTCTGCAAGTCAAATTTCGCTTTCTTTACATATTATTTATATTCAATATAATATATTGCATCAAAAAAGGGTAGGATAGGATAGGATTTACATATTTATCCCGGGGGAGAGGAAAGCCGATAAGACGGCTTATCCATATGGCGAACCACGGCCTCTCGTCCGGTTACCATTCCAAGTCGGGTATGGGATTAGTTATATTGTTTTGTTTTCGGAAGCATGGACTTGGTGGTGGAGGAAGCCGTAACCGACCAGCGGCTACGTGAACCACCCAACGACGGCGAGGAGTCCAGCAATCCTCTCGCACATAACCATCCCTGCATGGGATTCGAACCTGCGAACCCACGCAGAGTAATTAGAGGTGCGGTGGCGAGCGTATTCCTAACGCTTAGCCCGTTGAGCCACACCGCCGCGCCGGGTACCGGTAGTAGACTCCGATACCGGTACCGTACTTTTGATCTCACTTTTATAGGACAGGATAGGATTTTATACATTTATCCCGGGGGAGAGTAAACCGTTTAAAACGGCTTTGTGATGCATGGACTTTAAATTAAATGCGAGATTCAACATATACGGTACCGGTACGCTACCATACCATACAGATTGTAATGTCAATAAATTTTATACAAATACCGGTACTAGTGTGGCTTGTGAAAATACCAAGCCCCTTTGAATAAGTACAGTACCTACCAGTAGTACCGGTACGGTACCGGTAAGTGATCCGGTACGGCCATTGAATTTATTAAATATAGGATAGTAAATTTGTTATTTTACGGTACGGTTACCGGTACCGGTATGCTATTAATTGGATTTTGGTACTTATTCCATTTTTTATCTTAATTATTGAATGTTACCGGTACGGTACAGTCTACAGAATTACTGTACATTTGTGTTAGTACAGTAGTGTGCAACAAGACTACTAAATCATTCGATTGTGTTTATTATTATTGTTATTTTAGTATTTATTTTGGTGCCCTCATATACCGGTAATTTGTAAACCTTTATTTACTTTATAATTTCACAGATTTCATGATAGTTAACGACCACATACTTGAATTAGGAATTTATAATGGATAATGAGGATATCTCATCAGATGACGATTTCAACATAGTAACAGATTTGGTAAAATTCCGTTATAAAATTACTAAATTAAAAATAGAAAATGCGAAGTTAAAAAGAAAAATGGCCGAGTTTAGTCGGAATGAAAATAACTGCAACGATTATTCAAAATTTATTGACGCCTCTTGCCAGACTGACTTTATAGACATTGAATCTAATTTTCAAGAGCTCAAGAAAGATTCAAATAGCATTGTGGAGAATTTAAATACTAGAGCAACCCAAAAAACTACCATCTCAGCATCAAATATTTCCCAATGGACTTACGATCATCACCGCGGGGTATACTTTGACTACAACACCCATCTTTACTATTACCCTAACACTGAGCTTTTCTACAATTATAAGAACGGTTGTTATTACAAATACAATGAGACTTCACAACAATATGAATTTCAACATCAGCTAGAAGATTTCAAAAATTCAAAAAGCGAGAAAATATCCAGGAATATAGATTACAGGGATTCTCTTTGCAATGCATTTTCCAAAGTTAGTCTCTCCAATGGTTCAATACCCTACATAAAAAAGAATGACGGTGTCAGTATGTCTAGTGGCCCAATATTGTATGTACAAAGTGTGAGTGCCTCTAGTGGTTCGATATCTTATACTCAAAGTAACACTGTCACAGCTAGCACTATTGCCACTAGCTGTAAAGTCCCATTGTCAAATGTACGGAATAACACTAGAACGAGTCTCTCCAGTGGCCCGATATCATACAAACAAAGTTTTACTGGCACAAAAACATCTAGTGGATCGATATCTTATGTACAAGGTGGTGTTAGTAGTAGCCCAATATCTAATGGAATAAGTAATGATACTACAGGTTCCTCTATGCCTAATACCAAAGGGAAAAATCCCTCTAGTGGTACAAAGTCTTATTCACGAAATAGAGCCAAATTGAGTTCAAGACCATGTATTCGAGCTATGGTAACAGCATCGAGAAGTCTAAAACCTGGGACTATATTCATGATTACTTATCCTGGAGCCATTTTGGGATCGAGCGAAAACTGCGATATTTGGATACCTGATGAAAAAGTGGATAAAAAACATTGCGCTGTGATGTTCGATCAAGAAAAAAGGAAATATTTTGTCACAGATTACGGAAGTAATGTAGGGACGACTTTAAATTCGATTACCGAAAATAATCCTGGTTTAACAACAGTTTTTGCTTCACCAGTATCACACAAAAGTGTGCTTTTGATTGGAGATACGGTACTTGTATTACACTTGCATTTGGGCAATGCTACATGTCCTGATTGCGAACCTGGACTAGTTCAAGCTATGATTGAAAAGAACGAGTCGGTTAATTCCCCTGAAATTGTCCCAAAAAGGAATCTAGAAGTAATAAGACGATCAGAACTAAAATTCCTGAAGAAAAAACAAAATTTGCCCAAAGAAGGTTATGTAGAGTCTACTACTGACAGTACTGTGAATTATATTGATAGAGCTTTGGAAAGGAGACTGACTAAGGGTAGCGATAATCCTTATGAAAAAAATGAGATGCCAACTTCTGTTTATACTGAGTTAGCTGATAATAACAAGGGTTTTCAAATGCTTCAGAAAATGGGTTGGAACAGAGGGCAGTGCCTAGGAAAAACCTGTGAAGGAATAACAGAGCCGATAACGCCGCAAGGTAATTCCAAAGAAAGACGTGGACTTGGATTTGGAAAGATTTGATAATACTTTGAAAATTGAAGATTGGAAAATTGAAATAGGCTTTTCTTGTTCACGCTCACCACTGGACTGTTTACTTTGTGTGGGTTTGCTGGTTAGAATTCCATGTTGGGATAGTTGTGTGCGAGAGTATTGCTGGACTCCTCGTCACCGTAGGGTGGTTCACGTAACCGCTGGTCTGTTACGACTTCCTCCACCATCAAGTCCATGCTTCCGAAAACAAATAACTAAATAATCCGACATGGACTTGGACGGGAGTCCGCGGTTCGCCATATGATTAAGTCGTCTTAACGACTTTCCTCTCCGCCGGGATAAATATGTAAATCTTATCCAGGAGAAAGTAAAATCTATAGAACAGCCTAATTATATTGCGAACTATGTTCCTTGTCTGGTTATCAGTTCATCTTGGGCATGGAAATAGTTATCCCCTTCAGATGCATGGATGAATTTATTATATCGTGAATAGGATTTACCCTGGGGAAGCGAAATTGATGGAACGGCAAACCACGGCCTCTCATCCAGTTATCAGTCCATGTCAGAAAAAGTTAACCAGTCTCAGACTCGTAAGTTTGCTGGAGTACGTTTTTTTACTTACTGTGGTTCACTTAACTATTGGCTACGGTGTAATTTATATAGCCGATTGAAAACCCTTATTGTTATTGCTTTTAAAATCATTACAGTTACAGCGTATTTATGCACTATTATCTTGTTTTTCATATATGTCTCTTCATAACAGATCTGAATTGCAATTGCACTTATTTTGAGTATATTTTTTTCTATTTTATACATACCGGTAATTATTATGTTGTTTTACACTTTTGCTCTGAACGGGGCTTACTGAACAAGGCTAGACAAACACTCACAAATATATTGGGTCCTAATTTTTGTTTTGCATAATTGCAAATATCTGAGAAATATTTTAAGTGTGGTGTTAAACTCTATGAGGAGACCTACGGTATATGTTAGTGGTCATCCTTAACTTTTCTATTGGTAATATTTTCAGTTTTATTGAGGACTGGACCTAGCTGTGAGAAACTTGTCCGAATAAAATGTATTAAAATACCTTTAGATTAGATGGAATAGCTGTGTGTAATGATATATATCTAATGTCAGTGTTACATGCAACTCTTTCATCAGTCATTTTTCTACTTAGTCGGGGGCTCGGAACTTTGCTTTGAGCAAACTTGCAACTCTTCTATCAGTACTCTTTCCATTTTTAGTTGAGGGCTCCAAAAATCTTCTAAAGCTCCCATTGCCTATTTAATTGATATATTTTGAATACTTTTTCAGAGCTCTATGTAATGCTATTCGTCATCTTCGATTTTTTATTTCATCATGGATGAGTGGGTTCATTGTAATCTCTGCGGGCAACATGTTGCTAAGGGAGTATCATTTTACTTGACGACGTGCAGCCATATTTTTTGCAATCGCTGCAAAGAAAAAGGAACAGATCCGTGTGCTATTTGTCAACGTAAATGCAACGTTGCAGCTTTAAATGACAAACTGGATATGAATATTCAGACATTTTTTATGTCGCCGGAAAAAGCTTTAAAGAAACAAATAGAAGTTTTAAATTTTCAAGGGAAGCACAGAACTATGCTAATTGGACATTTAAAAAAGAAAATTGAACTTCAAAGTGACATGTTAAAGAAAGCGGAAAAGTATTGTCAAAATCAGAATGAAGAGATAAAAAAGTTGCAATATGAAAAAACAATTTTAAAGAAATACACTCATGCATTAAAAGCTCACGTTTCTGGTCATTCGTCTCACAGGCCTTCAACTCCACGACAGCTTTATTGCAGCCCTGGGTTGGCATCCCCACGTGTTAGTCGTTCACGAGCTCAGTCGCCATTGGTTACGAGATATCAACCACAAAGTTACTTAGCCACTGAAGCGAAATATCTACAGTCACCCATAGCAACGGGGAAAGATCGTCCGTTCGTAGAAATTCAAAACACACCTTCTGAAGCTCACAGATTATCGATACGTCCTAGACCAGCTGACGGAAAGTTTGGGACGCCATCACCCCGCTTGTACATAAACTCAGGTTCAGCATACCCATCCCGAGCTAATTCACCACTAGTGGTCAGCACAGATTCAATGTACAAACCCTCTCCAAAAGTGAATCTCCAAGCGCTTTCGGCCCAATGGACTGGTACAAATGCTAAATCGGCATATTTTGGCAAACTGGGGCCCACTCCCCCCTGTACCCCCAAAAGAGTTTCCCAGCCCCCATCTGCCTGCAGTACACCAATGATTAAATTTGGAGCAGGCAGTGCGCCAAAGCTAAGATGATACTGAGGGTATGTACCTTTAAAATAAAGGTTAAAAATGGGGAAAGTTGATGGGAAGGCACAATTGATCAAAGGATAAGTTTTTTATAGAGAAAAGCTGATAAGAAAGCTTAATCGTAAGACAGGATTTTAATATTTGTTCCAGTGGAGAAGGAAGTACCGGTAGATAAGGAGGCTTGATCATACTCAGTTTTTATACAGATACCAGATTCAGCAGTTCGAATACAACTAAAGCTGCCAGTATTATAGGATAGGGTTTACATATTTATTAATTATTATTTTGTGAGCATAGAGGAGAAAACTTTTATTTGAGCTGATTGTAAATTTATTCTGGGATGGTCAGATTTTTGCTTTAATCAAAACTTTTTTTTTGAAATTTGAAGTCTGAGTAGGTCAAAATAACTACACAGAGCTCAGGAAATGTTAAACTATGAATCCGACCACATGTTGGAAATCCTAACCCATGTCCATGAACTTCGATGTTTGGGTAGGCCACCCGGGAAGCCCCCTCCCATAATTATCCTAAGCCGGTGTGACTCCAGACCAATTACCTGCTTGGCTATCTGTACATATGATTGGCAGGCTGTACCTCTTTGCCTAACTGAATTTGTTGACTTTTCTTCATAATGTGCATCTGCGAAAGTCTTTCAATTTTTTTGTTGTTGCGTTGTTCACTTTTTTATTTGTTTTGCGACAAAGTTTTATTTGAAATGTTTATTTAATTTTTTTTTTAGACTTTTAGATAAATTTATAAAATACCGAAATGAGCGGTGGTCTTGCTCCGAGTAAAAGTACTGTGTATGCGAGTAACTTACCATACCAACTCACGAATAATGATCTTCATCAAATATTCGGAAAAATGGGAAAAGTTGTGAAAGTTACGATTGTTCGTGATAAAACAACACGACAGAGTAAAGGACTTGCTTTTGTTCTTTATTTAAAACAAGAAGACGCTTTCAAAGCAACTAAAATAATTGACGGCAAGCAGTTATTTGGTAGAACGATAAAATGCAGTTTAGCAAAAGATAATGGACGAGCAAAAGAATTTATACGCCGGAAAGAATACCGAGACAAAAGTAGATGTTATGAGTGCGGTGAAGCGTTTCATTTAAGCTACAAATGTCCTAAAAACATGCTCGGAGATCGACAACCCCCTCCCCAGAAAAAGAAACGCCCAAAACAAAAATTTGAACCGCCAACTACAAGAAAAAAACAAAAATTAGAAAAAAGTTTTGACAATGATGATCAAAGTAGCGATGATGAAATATATCTTGAAAGCTCAGCTTTTGAAAGTTTGAGTCACGTTATTGCGGAAGAAAGCGTGCAATTTAGTGGATACCGCCATCAAAGTTCAGTAACGAAGCCCAAAAAGATGAAATTTCAAAAAGATTCGTACTTCAGTGATGAGGAAGAGTTGACAACATAGCAATATGCAACAGTCGAAGCAATAGCGCCAACTGTGTCATTGCAGAGTTCTCAGGGTCAAATCCAGTGCCGATCACCTCATTCACCAATAGTGCAATGATTTGGTAGGTAGTGTTAAACCAGGAAGATCCTTTCGAAAAGTGGCTACTCCCCTATATGGGGCAGTGCAACCTTTAATACAAAAGGGAAGCATACAAATAGCTGGATGAAACCACGTACCAGATTTATTTTGCGAGCCGCACACCATACAAAATTGGCACTTCTCCATAGGCCACATAATTTTCTTTGTGGGCCTATTTGGCTCACGGGCTCGGTTTGCACAACCCTGCTCTGCATTGATGAATGAAATACAAACCAGCAGCAGTATGCATGCAATGCCCTCTAGGCTTGAGAGGCTTCACATGAAACATTGTTTAGAATGTCTGCCCAGATATGGACTGAGAAATTGCACAAGCCAATAATGAGATTTAGTCTTGCCACCAATTCTATAATTTCATTGCTAGGGATCAAAATGCTAATTCTAGATCGCGAGGAGTTTTTGAATAAAGTAATGTACTTAAAATCTCTACAATTAGATATTGGAACTTTGTGTGCTGTTATTTAACAAAGCTACAGTTCCCCTGTGGCACCCCCAGCAAATTGTCCAATTATCTTTCTATTAGTGAACGATAGATTTTCTACTGGTTGAAAAAAATAAACTTGGCATGGTCAGAATGATTTTGAGTGCATCATTAAAAAGTCGTAATTGGGTGCCCTGATTTTGAGACTGCTCATCAATGTATAATAGAGAATAAGCCATATTTTGAGCAAAATCCTTCGATTTGGTCACGCTCAAAGAGAACAAATCGTCTCGATTCCGAGTAAATGTTACGATTTTGAGACGTGTCTAAAGGCTTAATTTGAATGTCCTGATTTAGGAGAGCCACGTCTCCAAATTTTTTTCCCCATATCAGGACGTTTACCCAAAATATGGTTTACTCTTTCATGAGCGCTTGAGACAGGTCTCAAAATCATAACGACCAGGGGACCGTTCCTCTATACTAGGGGTTCCCAAGCCTACAACTTTCAAGTGTCCAGTGCGACCCCAGGTCAATATATATATTTTTCATGGAACTTCAGAGCTTCTTCCATCGGACTTCTGAGTTTGGTCATGTGGTGGTATTAAGTAAAATAAGCTAAAACCAAACAGTGATGTCACAATAAACACCTACATTTTCTATAGCAAAAGCATGGAGCGATACCTATGTGCCTGTTTTACATTAAGCTTCTTCTACCATACCTCAGCGACCCTATCTAATTATCACTCCGACCCAATTTGGGGTCACGGCCCCTGGTTTGGGAACCCCTGCTCTATACAGTACTTGTATTGTTTCATTCAATCTCTGACATTTATAAGCATTGAATAGAAGGTTTATCAGACAAGCTATCAACCTATTACTTGCATGGCTCGAGTTTTGGGAGCATTTTGAAAAATTGTGTGTCGCACTAATGTGTGTTGTCGTGACTGGAAGGCGGGTATTCCAGATAATAAATTGCTTTACACTGTAAGCTGGGGCTAGGAAGAACAGGTTTTCCACATGGAATAGACTAATCCCACCCCATCCACAGAGGATGGCGGGATGAAATATGCCGCCAACATGCTCCACTCCAAACTATCCGGAGAGGGCAATTGTAATTCAAACATATACCAAGGAGCTCAAATTCGAAAACAAATAACTGGCTAACTAATCCCATACCCGACATGGACTGGTAACTGGACGAGGGGCCGTGGTTCGGCATGTTATTAAGTTGTCTTATTATTGGCTTTCCTTATCCCGGGATAAATATGTAAATCCTATCCTATGTTGGTTAAAAATTAGGGCTCTAACTTTTGACTTTAATATCAATACAAAATACCACACTGCGAAAACGTGCCAACGTATACCCAAGTGTATACCGGACAATAGGCAGGGTGTACAACTGATGAAAGAAAGGTATACGCATCTTATTTAAATAATAGAATAATCAATTGCAAAGGTGGCACACATGAAAAATAAAATGTCATTTACGCAAAAAACGACTTAATAACATTGTCACATCACAATTTATTTAGGTAATGCAGGCACATGTCTGTTGTTGATGATTTTGGCTGCCATGTGAGTTGCTTGATTTACGTTGAACATTATTCCCGTTGACGTTACGGACATCAGTCAAATTTAGATATTGATATTGCAGTATCATCAGTCTTGAGTTTTTTACGATCTGTGCTTAAAGTTTATGTTTATTTAGGCCTTAAACTGACATTGGTATTTGTAAGGTAGGGTGAAAAATTGTAAAAGGTATACCACGATGAAGAAGGTTGGAAAACACTGCTCTAGGACCAAGGTTCCCAACTCCGTTTTTTCTAAAAAAAAATACAACAACAAAACCTCAAAAACACTCGGGACAAGATGTATTTTATTTGAAAACTGCACCATAAAAACATAACAGACTCATTCAGAATAATTGGATTGCCTAATGTTAGATCAGCATCATGGAGAGTATCACTTTGAACCCAGAACTACAATGTGAAAGCTGGTAGACCTGTAGCAGTAAGAAGTGAATTGATATCTCACAACTCGCTCAAAATGCACAATTTTGGAACTGCTTGGTGAGACTGAATTCCGAAAAGCAGTATGTAAAACCACCAAAATAAAAAGTTTTCACCTTCGAGAATCCACTTGCGCAAAGGAGTAGAGCAAGGAAGTCACACATAACCCCAAATGATAGTAAGGCATTGAGTGTGACTTAAATTGTATATGGGTAGTCTACTAACAAGGTTAGAAATTTATAAATTTCAAGCAGCAAAAAATGATAACTTTGGTTTTCAGCTATCTATAGATAACTGAACCATCTAATGAAAGGGATAAAATGCCTAAATTAGTTAATCCTTGTCCGAAAAAACTCAATTTGTATAAGCAAACTTGCAAACTTTTTGAATAAATGTTATTCAATAAATCTGTATTCCGTGCCCAAGTAGACTAAGTTGACCAAAATGTTGAAGCCAAGAGGCAAATTAAAAACCAAGTCATTGCTTTCTTCAGACAACATATCGCCAATATTGGGTGTTCCCAATTTCAGTGTTCACCTCCATGAATCTCTTCTTCCCATCTGTGGCATTGAAATTGCTATGTCCATGAAATCCCCAATCTGGAATTTTTGGTCCTCAAACAACAATATGAAAAATTGAAACTTTGAGAAGATAGGATAGAATATATATCTTGTGTAGAGGAAAGTTGAAAACCTTAATTATATTGGAAACCGCAGCCTCTGACATGCTCACTTTCCCAGACCTCGGATAAAAAATACATAAAACAGACAGAAATAATTGAAGGGAAATATGTTTGAATGTATGTATATGAAATTGCTACACAGAAAATGACAAAGCAAGTTTTAATATACAGGGTGTCCATAAAGTCCTTTTAATTTTTGTAATGAAGTCAGTTCTCAATATATCTTATCAAGAATTGCTGTTTTGTTTATTGTTATTATTATATTGTTTAAGTATTTTTTGCTTCATTTAATTCATCTGTAAGGGCCAGTTCTTTGCAATTAAAAAAAAGACTTTATGGACACCTTATATAACATTATACAAAGAAACAATTTTTGGACCTCCTGAAGTATGCGCACAACCTGAACACAGGTTGTGTACCAGGTTAGGGTTCAGGTTATGCATCATCTTGGTGCGCATACTTCAGGAGTGCCCAATTTTCAAATCCTCTTAATGGAGGTTGAATTTCGCCAGTGTGGAATGTTATATGACGGACATTCCCATAGTGCGGATAAAATTACCTGTAAAGTAACGTTGTCATCTGGCCCCTTCAATCCTGCCATTGTTCGACCAATGTCTTTGTACCTATAAAAATATAGTGAAGAAATATTGAGTGTTCCATTGTTTAATTAACGATTTTTCACCATACTGAGAATAATCAATGTTACATGGTACAGAATATTGAAATGGAATCAAAAATGGCATTTCAGTTTGATGGAGTTGCGTTAAATTGAAAAAAAAACTTAATGAAGACGGTGGGTATTTTTTTAATTGTTTTTAATAATATTACTCTGAACATACGTACAATCACTCAGAAGTAAAGAAGACTCATCTCTAAGCAAAGTTACAATCATTAACTTAGAGAAAAGGAGACTCATCTCTGAGATATGAGCATTCACTCAGTAGTAAAGAAGTCTTATCACTCAGCAAAGTTATGTTCACTCATTCAGAAGCGAAAGAGACTAATCTCAAAGAAAAATACACACACTCACTCAGAAGTAAAGAAGACTCATCTCTGAGTACTCGGTAGTAAAGAAGAGAAAGATTATAAACAACCATTCGAGAATGAATGAGGCAATTACTGAGCAAGGTATGGGCGCCACTGAAATATCAGAAGCTATTTGATAGCTTTACGGTGGATACTGTTCAACTAACCTATGGCGTCCATTTCTTTCCATATAAACTGTAGAAAACTCAAACTTTGTTCCCTTCCTTCGAGCGTCAGGATTCACTTCCTTCACCAGACTTGTTAATTCTTTCAATGTTGCATCCATCCTGTGAAAAAAGGGATGAGACTAGTTAATTTTATTCATTTAATTTCGCTGACCAAAGTTATGGCACTCACTCAGAAGTAAAGGAGACTCATCTCTGAGCAAAGTAACGGGTACTCACTCAGAATTAGAGGAGATTAATCCTTGAGTTACGGTCACTCAGAAGTATAGGAGTCTCATGTCTGAGCGAAGTTACGTGCACTCACTCAGATTATTCCTGGATAAAACTACAGGCCAGTGTGGATTCACGGCGTGTAAAAGACTGCGCCCGCCTGCAACTGACTTTGACTTTAGATACTGTCATACTGATCAATACATCCGCGTAAAATTATTGAATAAAAAATATGTTGAATCAGAGCAAAAATGGATATTTGACCCCCAAACATTATTTCTATACTTTGACATTAATTTTGGGAGCGTTTTTGCGTAAAATTATTGGATAAGCAATACGCTGAATCAGAGCCGTAACTGACCAGCATCGGCAAGGAGTCTGGCGATCTTTCCACCCATAACTATTCTCATGGGATTCCTATCATTCAACACGATGCGCCATACCGCCAAGCAATTGTGAATCTACAATTTGTTGGCATCATTATATTACTGGATTATTGATTTAAAACCATTTATACCAATTTTCATTGGTGAGCAATTGCAAATTTTCGGCGTTCAAAATTAAATTCGCTCGTGGGATTTTTGCGGGGCGCCAGGGCCCTCGGGCGTGCATCTGCCATGTAATCCAGTCTGGACTACAGGCACTCAGTCAATAATAGGATCTCTGAGCGAAGCTAAAGACAACAAATGAAATATATGCTAAGAGCTACTTAAACCTAATAGATTTATGGTGATGTATTGTGTTTACTAACACAAAAGTAAGACAGACTCGGGCCCATGAGTAATACATTAATTTGGCAAACTCACAAGAATGACGTTATCTTAGACGTATGTGCGATGCAAAACAGGTACCAGTGGAATTGTGGAATCATGTATAAGAAGCATGGTTATCATGCATTGTTGATTGTGAAGGGTTCAGTGTAGTTTCTTACTTCTAGTGGACGTAGCATAACACAGTAATGTGCGGTTGTCTGTAATCGAGCAAGCTATTTTTCTTGTCGAAATAATCCCGATATGAGAGGAAACGTTGCCGTCGAGTTCTTTATCGTCGGCGCAGATGCAATTTTAGTTTTACATTAGCAAGCTTTTTGGCTAATTGTGATGGTGTAGTCAGGTGGGGGTTAGAAATGACATGTGCAAAAATTGTTAAACTAAGCCCACTAGGAGTACTTGAGATACGAGACTCGACACTTTACACCAGGGGTGTGCAAACTGCGGCCCGCGGGCCAAACGCCGCTCGCGAGGAAAAATTGTGTGACACGCGAATAATTAACAATTTTGAATGGTGTGCCGGCGAAACGAGTATTTATTCTTCTGCGTCGCAAAGCATATATCAGTCATATGAGCCAAATAAGCTAGCAAAATTCTGTTGCAAAATACACGATATATATATATTACAAAAACGTGTTTCTCACTGAATTGGTTCAAATTTAAATAGCGGTTTTTTCTGAATCTTATGCGTTTTAACTGACTATTCCTGCTGGAATACATAATAATGCCGTAAGATCACTCGCAAATATAAACAATTTTTGTGATTGCAACTACTAGAAAGTCTAGAATCTAGATTAAATAAAGGTGCGGCCCGCGGCTGCACCCAGTAACTTGTATTTGGCCCGTCAATGAAAAAGGTTGCACACCCCTGCTTTACACACTGCCTATTTTATACACTCTCTCTCACAACAAGGTGACAGTGAAGAATTGGAGTTTGATATTTCAGTAATTTAAGGACAGATATCCTCTGACAATAAAATCAAAAACTTAGATGTATGTATGCATGTTTATTATACATACATACATACATATTATTATATTTCTGATTAGGCTTCAACTAAACACTAAACGTGGAGAATTTGTTCGGAATATGATTAAATCATCCCAATTTAGTTTGCTTTATGTAGGCTATTTCAGAAAACTATTGTATTGTGATTATAAGTCCACGATTTAAAAATCAACAAGATTGTACAAACACAACACTTACCATGTGTAAATCTGTAATTCATTATTTGGCACATTTCCTCGCGCATAATCACTCAGAGGATGGTGTCTTCCATTGCAAGTAAAAACCCTCAGCAAGAGTGGACAGGTTTTCTCTCTATCAATAGCTGGCTTTGGCGCCGGCTTTTCTTCCGCTGGCGCGTCCTGTGCTACACTCCTGAGTCGGTCTTCCAGTGAACCAGCTTGAGGCATAGCTATGTTTTATGTATTACTAAATTATTATCAAAATAACAGACGAAAGCAGAGATAAAACCTAGCAACTCTATCGTCACGTAACACACAGAAGAGCACGCGCACTAGAGGTACCGCGAATGAGCAAATCCGTTGGCTGTCAATCAAAATCGTATTTCCGCGTTTTAGGACGGCCCAGGCCAAGGGCCGGCAACCAACTTGCCTAATGTTAAACAGCTCCATGGACGCCATCTTGTGCCATATTTGAAAAACGCGAAACAATGGAGTCTTATGGGAAATTTTCTTCGTGTTGTTGTACCGAATCAAATAACTCAGCTGTTAGTGGAGCAAGACTGAAACCGAAGGGTGGATTTTTACCGCCAAGCTATGAACTATGTAATAAAATATGAAGTACAACACTATCTATTGCAAAAATATGGGCCGCAAAGACAACGTTGTACAACTTTTCAATCAGGCCCTCAAAGATCTTTATTGCGACATACCAATTTGACGCTTAACAATGCAAGTATTCTGACGCAACAATGGATTTTATGTAATTAGATCCACGTCCTTATTTATATTAAAAACCCACACAGTTCAAATACCTTGTGAAAATGGGATTTATTATTATCAAATTATGCATTATTTTTCTATAAATCCGAACACGCGTAACTACTCTTGCGCATGGAATAAACAGTTGAACACGCATAGTTCACTAGGACAAATACTGTATATTTCAACAATATGTAAGTGGCCGACGGAATTTAGCTGAAAATATATTTTAATAGTATAAATGCATTCGTGAAATATAATTAATGATAACCGTAACGTTGATGAAGTAGAACATCGAAGAGTAACTAACAAAATCGAATAAATTAAAAACAATCAAAAAATTTCAAAACGGAATCAAAATATATATACAGGTCTTTGTCTACCTAATATTTGTTGCGCAAGCAGCGCTTCTGCTAGCGTATTCGTGGCATATACTTTTTGGGTTGCTCTCCTATCCTAGCATAAATTCGCATTCTCAAGAGAATGTATCTATCTATAATCTTTTTCAATTAAATTATGGCAACTGGAGAACAATGGTCATCTTAAGCATCCGATTTTTTGTTTTAATAATGCTTTTGGATTAGGCTGCATTTTTAGAGTTTTTATGTTGAGCCGAAAAATAAATTCCAGTTGTTGAAAATATTTAAGCAGGGACAGTGATGGATGAATCAGGTGTATCGAATTTTCGGTGGATATTAAGTCTTTATTATATGATTTAAAAAGTGTTAAAAGGGCTTCGGGACAATCCTTCATATTGATCGTATATTCTTGCCTACAAAATGATTTTCCACATGTTTCACATTTTTAAGTTCTTTGAAAACAGCCCATTCTAAAATATAATAAAGCCCGTTGGACTCGCAAATGTCCATGCAGACAACTGCAGATTCAATAAGTGCGTCCACTTCATTGATTTCGATGTTCGGTTGTGGCTCACTCACCATTCGTCAAAGAATATGAGGCATTGCTATGTTCTTTTATAAATATTATCAAGTTTTCTGAGTCGTCCGTGTCGTAATTTCCACTTGAGGGAACGTGGAGAAACTGACCAACCAATACTAATTTTATTGCATTTCGGAATTGACATGCCTTCGGATGCGAATTTCCCTTACTTCGCACCTGTGATGTTAAAAACATTTCAATCAGAGATCACCATACGACTATATAAATGCAATTACGATTTATTTAATATATTCTATCTTTGTACTGAAAGATAAGACAAAAAAATAACCTGAGAGAATAAATTCTCTACAGCATCTTGTGTTAGTTTTCCAGGTAGTAAAAAATTCATTTTTCCGCCTAGCACAATGTCAGCATGAAGCTCGATTATCGAAGTTGTTGATAACTTAATACCGGATTGAATTGGCTTCCATTTGTTTCCTGGAAATGCTAAATTCTGTACGACGTCGATCACCTAAAATATTTGGTGCCACTTTAGTATGCGATTTTACTTACAATATATATGATGTGTCACACAACAGACCTCGATAAGGTGATCGATCTTTTCTCGAGAGTTAGGGAACAGAGCATTATCAATGGACCTGGTGTTCACAATATCGAATCATTTTTTGAAGAATGAACAGAAGAATGATGTCGACAAAGCATCTCTTGGCAGTACGTCACTCTCCACAAGCGTTTTTATTGCGCATGCTGTACTGTGACTGATCACCTGTGAAAAGATGGAGTTTGATGTAAAATTCTAACTCATTGGTTTATGAAGAAAAAAAACGATTTAACATTATTTTATTTCAGCAAAAATGTGAAATTACGACTTTTATACTGTTACTCTAATATTTTTAAATAAGATGGAAATAAACTGAAATACAAGTAGACCTGAGCCGCTAGACCAACGGTGCATAACCTGCGGCCGTCGTAAAAAAATACAGCGGCCGTCCACATACAAAATCCTATAAACAAAAAAAATGTTTGAAATATAGGATTTGTCGGCTATGCTGGCGTATATTGAAGCAAAACATAAGCACAGCAGAAAAGTCAGACGACACGATGCGTCACAATCTGGATGGTGTATTTTTCTGTTGGGGATTTTTCTTCATGGTTCAAATTGATCACGCGTTTCGGCAGCCTAGCAACGTAGCAAGCTAGCCTAGCAAGGCATCCACAGCTTACAGCCGAGAAAATTGTAGCAGTTTTATTTGATTCTGACTCTGATTTGTATTACAAGCCTGATAGTGAATCGGTCGATTGGCCAACTTATTAGTGTGGAATACCATTTCAAATTAGGTCTAATTAAGCTTGCAGTTAGCACCAGATTTTGTTTATTACAGCGCTAGCCTATATTAAACTGCCTAAAACTTTTAAACATTACTTCATGTCGTTAAAACGGAAAAGAACAGTGTCAGAAGAGGGTCGGTATTTAATTCCAAATGGGAGATAGATTACCTCATGATCGAGACAGCAGCACATACCATGATGTGTCTTATATGCAGTCAAATTATAAAAACTGTGAAAGGGGATAATGCAAAGCAGCATTTTCGTCGTCATATGTCGCATGCTTATGCAAAATTAAAAGGCGAGCCAAGGAAGATTTGTGTAGAAAATGTGAAAAAAAGTGTACGCCAGCAGACATCTTGCATTTCTACTTTCATTAAGTCCCTTCATAATCGTTGCGAAGCTTCCTATAGAGTGGCATATCATCTTGATGTAGCGGGGAAGCCTTATTCCGATGGGGAACTTGTTAAGCGCTGCCTCATAGATGTTGTTAAGTGCATTCATCCTGGTAAGGAAACTGACTATTCATCAATTGCTCTCTCGCGTGTTACGATACAGCGCCGCAAGATGATATCGCCAAGCAGTTAACCCTCTCTCTGCAGACACAGGTTAACAAGGAAGCAAGTTTATTCTCACTGGCTGTCGATGAATCAACTGACATCACAGACTCGGCGCAATTACTTGTTTTCATTAGATCTTTATCTCCAAGCTTCGAGTTGTGCGAGGATCTTCTTTCTATGGAAACACTCGCTACTCGCACCCGTGGTGGAGACATATTTACTGCAGTTAAGAATACCTGTATTCGTAACGGATTAGATCTGACAAATCTCCGTGGAATTTGCACGGATGGCGCCCCTGCCATGATTAGGGATGGCGGAATCGAATACGGAATCGATTCTTCGTGGAATCGACTAGAATCGATTCCGACGCACTGGAATCGATTCTTAAAAATTTGGTTGTCAACAAGGTATATAACGTTTTGTGACAAGTCCGTCGCCGTATAAACTTGCTAAGTGAGTTTCTACGACGCCGCAAATATCGTTATTTTTTTACACGCTTATCGCACTCGCTCGTTTGCGCGCGTCATGTGAGCACGCGGCACTTTCGGACACTCGCTACTCGCACCCGTGGTGGAGACATATTTACTGCAGTTAAGAATACCTGTATTCGTAACGGATTAGATCTGACAAATCTCCGTGGAATTTGCACGGATGGCGCCCCTGCCATGATTAGGGATGGCGGAATCGAATACGGAATCGATTCTTCGTGGAATCGACTAGAATCGATTCCGACGCACTGGAATCGATTCTTAAAAATTTGGTTGTCAACAAGGTATATAACGTTTTGTGACAAGTCCGTCGCCGTATAAACTTGCTAAGTGAGTTTCTACGACGCCGCAAATATCGTTATTTTTTTACACGCTTATCGCACTCGCTCGTTTGCGCGCGTCATGTGAGCACGCGGCACTTTCGGACCATTCCGTATCTTGTTTCTCTTGATTACTGTGAGGGAGAATTAGTGGTGCTTCTTCACTTTTTATCTCGCACGCCATTGGCTGCTACATTCCCCCGCTTCACTCGCTTGTTTGCGCTGGCACATTTCGTCTAGCGAGGGCGGCTTGAAGCGTCGCGCGACAGTTCCAAAAAAACTCATGTTGCGCGACTTGATTTGCGTTTATGATATTACACCGGACTAGTTTATATTCACAAATGCAAGCGTTAGGCTGTTTAGTGTTGTGTCTGTCAAACGCCATTTATTTTGTACATTGTAGACTTCTCCATTTAGTCTTGCGATAGGACATTTTGTAGGCTAGTCTGCTAGTACTGTGATTATCAGACCTGTATATATACTGGTAGTCTAACTGAATAGTCTGATAGTAGATTAGCTCATTGGACAATTACTATTCCGGCAGTCCCGGTATAAGTAATATTACTGTGTTAAGGGTCCTATACAGTACAATGGCCCGAGATGGTTCACCATGTGATTGAGCCATCATAATACGGTACGGTACCCTATTACAGTTTTAGCTTTCTCTTTCAGGAAATATAACAATATTCTTCTCATTTACAGAATATTCTACATACTATTGAAAACTTAGCTACATTCAGACATTTATATCAGATTGCCCAATATGAAGAGGAGTGGAGCACATCGGCGAAAGTCTGTCGTTTGGCACCACTTTAAGGAGATTAACAATAATGGAATAGTCAAAGTTAAATGCTTCCATTGTGGAGAAACTATGGCTTTCACAACAGTACTTCTAACATGCTGAAGCATATGAATGGCCGTCATCCTTTTGTAAAATTGCAAGAAGATGACATCCAAAGTTGCAGTGAAACGTGTACGAGTGCATCGAAGAAGAGTTCAAATTCTAATTCCAGCAGCATTAGTACCGGTAGCCAAAATCTTAGTTTCTCAGAAACTGAGACATCAAGAATGAAACAGACAATATTGCCTTATCGGAACTTACAACACGTTACACCTATGGAGGCTAAAAGAATTGATGATGGCATTGTCAATATGGTTGTTGGTGATTTACGTCCAATCAACATTGTTTCAGGCAGATATTTTCAAAACTTGGTAGCTATGCTAGCTCCGCCAGGATACACAATTCCATCCAGGCAAACAATAACAACCAAAGTAGAAGATCTTTACAGAGAAAAGAAAGAAGTTTTAATGAATGAACTTCTCAATGCCACATATGTGGCACTGACAACAGATGCCTGGACTAGCATAAAGCAGGAATCATATTTGTGTGTCACCGCACACATTCTTTCCCAGGATTTCAATATAAATTCATTTGTACTTTCAACAAAGCAACTTGATGACAAGCAAACTGGAGAAAATATAGCAGGCTGGATACAAGAGATTGTTTCTGATTTTGGTGTTCCTTTCTCAAAAATTGTCTCGATAACAACGGATAATGGTTCGAATATGATTGCAGCTGTTAACCTATTGAAAAGAGAGCACAATCTAAATGCAATTCGATGTGCCGCTCACACCCTGCAGTTGTGCTTACAGAGGGGATTTGCCCTGAGGGACATTGTCGACATGTTGGAAACGGCCAGAAAAATTGTGAACTTTTTTAGACGATCTGCATCAAACAGGCTGTGCCTTAGAAAAAAGTATGAGGAGATAACAGGGAAGCCATTATTGTTGGACCTAATAATCGATGTGTCCACCAGGTGGAACTCTACTTATGAAATGCTCTTGAGACTCAATGAACTGAAATGGCACATCCGTGCAGTGGTCTCTGAACTTAGAGAAGGTAATCGAAGAGAATTATCACATCTTGAAATGAAGGAACATTACTGGGAAATTGTGCAAGATTTATTGCCAATTCTACAGCCCTTTAAGGTAGCAACAGCATTTTTGGAAGGCAACAATTATATAACCTTGTCTTCCCTAAAGCCAGTACTTAAAGGGTTGGTGAAAAAGATAAGTGTTGGTAACCCTAATGAAAATACAAGAATTGTTGGGTTTCGGAATACAGTTTTTGGCATGTTGAACTCATACTTTGAAATATGTCTGAAAGATGACGGAAGTACAATATTTGATATTGCATATGTCTTGGATGCAAGATACAAAACGAAATCCATGAAGCAAGATGCATCGAGAAAAGTCAAAAATTTGTTGCAATTCGAAGTGGAAAATATTTACACATCAGAGATAGAACAACCTGCAGTCCAGCAGAGTGGAATGGCAACAGAACTACACGAAAGAAATAATAAATCATGTATTGGAAATCTAATCAACGACGGTATGGACAGTTCTGAAGAGAGTGGCGGCGATGTTGGTGAATTGACTAGGGAGATGGAGGTTTCAGCTGAGATTTCTAAATATTTAAATGATAGATATCTTGGCTTATCAGCAACCCAAGAAGAAATGCTGCAGTGGTGGAAACAAAACAAAAAAGTGTATCCAAACATCGCAGTTGTCGTACAGAAGTACCTCTGCATCCCAGCAACATCCGCTGCATCCGAAAGAGCGTTTAGCTCAGCGGGTCTTACCGTCTCCAAATTGAGATCGAGACTCACAGGAAGGCATGTAAATGAACTGAACTTTTTACATTGTAATAGATTTTTACTATGACTGTCATTTTTTTGAACATACAGATGGCTTTGTTATTACTTATCGATCTTGATCGGTAATTACGTTGTTAATAGAATTTTTGTTATAAAAAATATATTTTCTCATTAGTCATTACCTACCTACTGGACCAATTGCTTTGATGTTTTTAGTGGTCAAAATTGTATTGTGCTTTGATGTTTTTAGTGTTTAAAATTGTATTTTTTGCTAGAAGACTGTTATGTTTATTTTTTTAAAAAAGTTCCTGTGGGCTCTCATTTTTGCCCGATTTTGTTATCATGTTGTTGTTTTGAGTGTTTAAAATTGTATTTTTTGCTAGAAGGCTATTACATTTATTTTTTAAAAAAGTTCCTGTGGGCTCCATTTTTGCCCGATTTTGTTATCATGTTGTTATTTTTAGTGTTTAAAATTGTATTTTTTGCTAGAAGGCTATTACGTTTATTTTTTAAAAAAAGTTTCTGTGGGCTCTCATTTTTGCCCGATTTTGTTATTATGTTGTTGCTGATGTTTTAGTGTTTAAAATTGTATTTTTTGCTAGAAGGCTATTACGTTTATTTTTTAAAAAAGTTCCTGTGGGCTCTAAGCAATTCGTTTTTGCATGATTTTATCTACTGTGACTACTGAATACACATACTACTTAGTTTCAGCTTTTTTGTGTCCATTCCTTTGAGCATTGCTCTCTTGTTTGATTTCACATGGTATGGTTTAGGTGGGTATCCATTTTCAATAATTTATGTCGAAGAATCGAGAATCGGAATCGAAAATTTAGGAATCGGATAAGAATCGAATACTTGTAAGTACTCATACTTAGCATCCTTAGCCATGATGGGTAACACGCAAGGTTTTGTGGCAAGGTTTTCAGAGTACGTATCAAAGGAATATGATAATAAGGAGCTCATCAACCTTCACTGTATTATCCACCAGGAAGCACTGTGTGCCAAATCTGTTGCTATCAATGTCATTTTGAAGGACGTCAATCGCATCATCTTGTTCATTCGCGCAAATGCTCTTCATCACCGGCAATTTCGAGAACTTTTGCAATCGAGTGAAACGTCTGCTGAGGACATTTTATATCACACCGCAGTTCGTTGGTTGTCTCAGGGAGAAACAGCTCACCGTGTTCTGCGGTTACGCAAAGAAATAATAGAATACTATTCCTTAAAAAACAAGGACTGTCCCTTACTGAACACGGACTTCCTCACATCTCTGGCGTTTCTGGTTGATTTTCTAACCTATGTTAACAATCTGAATCAAAGTCTGCAAGGAAAGGCAACAACAGTTTGTCTCATGTACAAAAAAGTACTGGATTTTCGTGACAAATGTCGTCTCCTCAAAGGTCATCTCCAGCAGCGTGAGTTCATCCATTTCCACAATTGACGGCCCTTATTGACAGCAAAAAAATACAGGTTGACAAAATTCCAATCGTCTTATTTTCTGGTGTTTTCGATACGGTGTTGCAGGATTTTGGCGATCGTTTTCAAGATTTTAGGAGGATTTCTAAAACGTTAAGACTCGTTGCTTTTCCGCATCTGGTTGATACCGAGAATGCTCCATTGCACCTTCAAATGGAACTGCTGGAGTTGAAGAATGATGAGCAGCTTGTGCAGAAGTTTAAAGACGAGGAAAATCTGCTGGACACATGGCGCAGTTGCATATCCAGTGCTACGAGAATTGGCAAGAAAAACTCTCGTTCTTTTTGGAAGCACTTACACTTGCGAAGCAACGTTTTCAAAAATGAAGTACCTGAAGAATGAGTACCGAACCAGATTGTTAGACGTCAATCTGGAGTCTCAACTAAGGCTGATGGTATCCAACCAGTTACCTGACTTTGCAAGTTTATCTGCCCACATGAAAGACCAAGGAAATCATTAAGTTGCTACAATGCTTTTTAAACTTTTATAGCATAAATTTGTTAGGATATTTTATTTTTTATTATACCTTTGGGGACAAGAAAATGGGTGTGACCGCTGCTCGACATTTGATTTTTTTCAAAATTGTGCAACCATTATGCAACTTGCTGCAATATATCTGCTCAAGAATAGGTCCAGCAAAAAGAAAAATCCGTTTAAAATGCGAATATTATACTTCCAAGTAGTCCTACATACTTCATAATTGGGCAGACTGCACCTCGCATGGGTCAAATACGCGGTTATGACGTCATAAAAGCCCAAAGAAATTTTCGCGCGCTTTCGGCGCGATCAGATACTCCCTGGCGGCCGTTTTGAGTATAAATATATGCAATGTGGCCGTCAACAGCAAAAAGGTTGTGCACCCCTGCGCTAGACCAACTCTCATTTTTTGATATTTTGAAGGTTTTATATGCTTCTCCGTGAGGTTGGGGGCAAGTTTCAACTCTTTTTCTCTCTGCTCATCTGCCACTTTCTCAACGTAACAGAATCGAACCTGTAGTTAGGTAAATTTTAGGTTCAGCCTATAGATATAATACACTTACTGCGCATTTTTGATACTCGCCATTTTAGTCGGAAGATTTTATTTCGTAACAACAGATGTTGGCAATTCAATGTCATGATTCATAAAAGCTGTTCGTAAATTTTTTATCAGGTGCGGTACATCGGCAATAAAATGAAATTTCTTATGTTCGAAAGCAGGGCGAGGCACAGAGCAATTCACTTCGAATCTAAAATAGAGTAACCAATGAGAAGTTAATATGGTGTAAATTGTAATGGATAGGCTTCTGCGTGATATATGTATACGCGGATATCACACCCTTCAAATTATTCAAACCTGTTAGAAACTATCCCCGCACTTCTCTACATTGCTTGATCCCATGTCACTGACAATAGAAACCATGTGAATCCACGTTCTGATAGACCTAATATAATTTGTTTGGTCAAGCACCATAGGTCATTTTCGCTCACAGAAGTCTCGGTGTAAAAATATGATGTATGATGTCAGGCAACATTTTTCAGCCAAAGAATTTTCCAAGTTAATGTTTGTTATGCGGCTCCGATAATCACTTTTAATGAACACCATTAATGAGAATCCTGCCTCACATACGTAAGTAGTTCCGATTCGCACAAGAACTTGCAATGCTCGATTTCTAACTGCTGAATACTTGTTTGGTAACTGTATCCAAAACTTTGCTAAATCCTGAAACATATCAAAATTGATTCTTGCTTCATTGTCTGCCTGCAAACCAGCCATCTCAAGTAGAGCTCGACCGATATATCGGCCAACCGATATATCGGGCCGATATTGCGTGTTTGCCGATATATCTGGATATTTATTGGTTTTACAAACAGAGTATATACATGAAAAACAAAGAAAAAGAACTTATACTTTTAAATGATTACACTGAGTATTACTCTACGTTAGAGTGTGCTTCTTAACTGGGTTCGTCGAACATCTCAGAGGTTCGTATTTGTCTTGGGTGTATATTCTGGAGCCTGGTTGCAAGTCATACAACCAGGTGTTATGGTTACAACTGTAGGCCTTCGCTTTTTGTGTATCAGTGGTGTATTCGTGTTAACAGTAATACGCAGTAATTATCTGCCCTTTTAGAGTCTGAGATTCTGGTTACAAGTCGTTCGTGCCAGCCGGATTATTTGGCTGTTACTTGCACATAGTTCATTTCAGCATTTTTGGGCATTTATGGTTAATTCGGGACAGTTTTCAGCATTTAAGCTTTAGGGATTAATATGTATGAATCGATTACGGGTTGCAACTCTTGGTTGGACTCATGTTAGGTGAATATACATGATATACTTTGGGGCGGGGTTGATGTTTATAATATTCATCAATGGTTATGTCAAGGTTGAGGATAGTTTTTACTATTTCTACTACGTGATTCTTTGGTTACTTATATGAGCCGAATTATATCCAAGATCCATTCGAAGTAGTATTATGTCATTTGGACTTATATACCAGCGCGTTTTTTGCCGATATATCTGGCCGATATATATCAGTGTTAGTCGCTTTTCCACGTTCTAAAAAATGAGTATTTTTCCCCGGGAAATATCTGCGGCCGAGCGTTTTCTTTTTTTCGCTTCTCTCATTTTGCCTTTCAGTGAACAGAGTTCTCCTCTATATTTCTCTCTTCGTGCGGCGCAAAATCTTCGCCTTCGAATATCTTGCGTCCCCACTAGGCTTGCACGTAATTGACAAAAATCAATTCTGTAATTACGGCAAAATTGATTACGTAATGACCCCGTAATTGCGATATTTTTTCATACATTTAAACCTATCATAAAAACCATTTGAATCCACTTCTTTTCCGAACGGGACATCGAAATTGGTTTTCATATTACCGACAGTACTACACGCCGGCGACAGATGTTAAAGACAAATACCAAGGAGTGAATTCAAATTAAATTTATTCTGATTTTTATCTTTTGTGTTGACTGTGATTTTCCTTTATCACCTTCGCAAATTAACCGTCCCAATTTTATCATTACCGACACTGGTATACGGATATTTATGAAACGATAGTTGCCTTTTTTTAAATCGACTTTCGTATTGAATAAAAATTTTCATTCATTTTTTTTAGTTCAAATCATTTCGCGGCCTAAATGTTATAACATTATTTGCGATAAATTTAGATCAAATATTAATTATTTAGCCGGCGATAAATTCTTACCCGTAACTCGTTGTAAATTAATGCTAATAAATTCTATTCTGTTTTTTAATGCGCCGTGATTTGTATTAATAAAAGTGATTGAGTCGGGAAAAGAAAGTAGCCTTCTCTCCATTTGAGGGCCCATAGCGACGGTAAAATTCGTTTCATGTCTATTTCACGGAGAGAAAGAAAAATACGCCTTCCGGAATTACAATCAACTATCACACATTCTTATTTATCATCATCAGCGCCGAATAAAAAAGATACCAAATCGTGACAAAAAAGCCTGTCGGTGTTAATTGCGTTACGGTGATAACGCTCATAATAATATCGTTTTGACCATGAAACCAAACGCTCGAACGGGGTGGCAACGCGTCATGCCTTCCCCCACCTGCGTAACAAGAGAGAGAAAAACGAAGCGAATACCGTAACTGTAACCCCTTCTACTTGTTAAACTTTCATTTTTACAATCGACGGAATTGACTGCTTTGAAGGAGCACGTTTCAAACGCGAAAGCCCTCGACCAATAATTACGACTTTACGTAATTTGTAACTCGAAATAATTACGTAATTCCGTAAATTACGTGCAAGCCTACTCCCACCTACTACTGTATGGATAAAAATGGACTTCTATAAGCTTTTTACTGAATGCCCTTTTTCTTTTGTGCTTGTTTTTTTCAAACATTGCCTTCTGTTTTGGGCATTAATGTGTGTTCTTAGTATTTGCTGTGAAACTTTTATCAATGATGCAAGCACTGTGTAGGACTGCTTTATTTTTCAATATAAACTTTTGATTGACTGAAACTGAATTTTTCTTACTAGTTGTATTTACTGCGGGTTCAGGTTGTAGATATCGGAATGTCGATATCGGGTATCGGTCACTAGTTGGCCGATATATCGTTATCGGTGCCAAAAAGTGATATCGGTCGAGCTCTAATTTCAAGTGCAATAGCACCGCAGTTCGTGGTACCGATATCAGTTTTAAATGGAAATTGTACAAAATCGAAAGATTCCGCTATCAAATCTTTAAATTCATATTTTCTGTCAGATTTCTCAAGTAATCCAGCAGATCTTTTTTCGCTTCTCCGA